GCAGGCATGCGTGCTCAGCTCCTTTTCTCCACTGTTATAAGGCCCAAGATCCCTCCTGTCTAGGGAGTGCTGCCACCCACGAAGGGTGGGTCTTCCCCTCTCAATAGATTACAATTCCCCACAGACTTGCCTACAGACAACCTGAACTAGACAGTCCCTTGATGAGCCTCTGCCCAGGGGATTCTAGATTGTGTCAAGTTGACATTTAAAACTAACCTTCACAGTATCCGCCTGCAATGGGATTTTCTCTGTAGGTTCTCACAGGGTCGTTGTTGTTGTTACTGTTGTTTTTGACTCAATGTGTCGATAGCAGGAGCTGCTGCTGTTCACTCCCGCTGAATCCTCCAGTCTCTTCGTTTCAGTAAATCACAGCTCACTCATCCAGTGACTGAAGACAGAACTCACTTGTCCTCCTTTTCGTCCATACCTCTCCCAGCCTGACCAATCCACCCCTGAGTGGTCTTCATGCTGTCTTACATAACCAACCTCCTCCTTTCCACCGGTTCGTTCCTGCGCCCACACCTTTTTTCCATAGCAGATTTTCAGCCATCCCCGTCACTGCCGCCCTCCTCCACAACCATCGAGGGTTCAGCAAGGCAGATAATTCCAAAAAACACACAAAAGCAACTTCACCCACTGCCCCCTTAAAGCTCAATAATAAACAATCACCACATTCTTTCAATGAAAACATGCCTTTTATTGGGACTGCAGAGATGGCTCAGCAGTTAAGAGCACTGGCTGTTCTTGCAGATGACCCAGGTTCAAATTCCAGCACTCATATGTTGACCAACAACCATCTGTTACTCCAGTTCCAGTGGATCTGATACCTTCTTCTGTCCTCTGCAGGCGCTGCACAACATGGGTGCACTTACACACATGCAGGCATAACACTCATATACATAAAATAAAAATAAATAAATTAAAAATATTTTTTAAAAGGAAACATGCCTTTATATAGTTGCAGATGGTTTGCATGACTGTTTCCTTCAAGTTCATCCCTGAGTCGAGAATTAAGTTGCATAAGAGCAAGAACTAGGACTGTTGTTTTCCATATGTCATATATTGTGTTGGGTGGAACGCCTGACATACAGCTTCACTACAGAAGGAAAGGTCGAGTCTCTAGATGAACAAAGGCCTCCCGCGGAGAGCTGTTCTTCATTCCTAGCTCCTCCATGATTGAACACACAAACCGAATGAGTCAGACTGAATCGTTTGTTTGTTTTTACTTTGTGCTTTGAGTATTTTGCCTGCATATATGTAAGTGTACCATGTGCATGTAATGGCAGTAGAGGCCAGAAGAGTGTGCCAGATTCCCTGGAACTGGAGTTACAGATGGTTGTGAGCTACCAGGTGGGTTCTGGGAACTGAACCTGGGTCCTTTAAAAGAGCAGCCAGTGTTCTTAACTTCTCAGCCGTCTCACCAGCCCCCTGAATCCTTTCATAGCATTGTTTTAGTTCACCTTCTAACTTCAAATTCCAAGACCAAAGTCCTCCCTCTGGGAGGCATCAGAGGTTTTTGGGAGTAGTTCAGTGTGGGACACGAAAACAGTTCATTGTATGGTGTATTGGAGAAGGTCTGTGTAGATGTGGCTTCATAGTGAGGTAGAGCTCTCCCAACTATTGGCCTCTGAGTTTGGGCCCATTCATGAGCACACTTGTGCCTCAGTTTCTTCATATAATATGCATGGGATCATTGTTACAAGAAGCACAGAGTTATCATTATATGTTAATCTGTTAAGCACTCAGAACAGCACATGCCACATGGGTATTAACATCCTAATTTAGAGTTTTATGACTCTGCCTCTAACTCCAGCTCTTGACTTTTCTATCTTTCTGGAATTTTTATTCTTTAAGTTTACTTATCTTACTGGATGGCAATACACATAATACCCACATAGTTTGAATTTTGTAGGAAGAGAATTAACAGTACTGAGAACGCAGACTTCCTTTTGGATTAGAAATACAAACTTCACAGCTTCCCTGCCCAGCTTTTCTAGAGCATTTTAGGGTACACTGCTGTGTAACAAGTTCATTTTAGGATGACATGCTGGGAGGGAGAAAAAGAAGACAGAATTCGAAGGGAGAAAATTAAAAAGTTAATTAAAAGACACAATTTGGTAATTGAATTCCCTCACACTTTTCTTTGGTGATGGGGATGGAGGCAGGTCGCTGCATGCAGGTAGTGTGTTTGCCTCAGTGGAAGACCTTGAAGATCCTGAAAGAGGCAAGCTTCCAAGTTCAAGGCAGACCTTGGCTTCACAGAGAGGAGGTATAGGTTACATTCGTATAGGCTTTTCAGGAACTCTGTGTATGTGTGTGTGTCTGTGTGTGTGTGTGTGTGTACACGTGTGTGTGTGTAAATAACTATGTATTATGCACATCATATATTATTTATTATGCATTATGTATACTTACATAATGAACATATATATGCATGCATTAGTATCTTTTCTGATGCTATGATAAAACCTCTTCATGAAAAGCAACTTAGGGAAGGAAGCAAGGGTCTATTTTGGCTTACAGTTCCAGAGGGAAAGAGTCCTTCATGGTGGGCAAACACTGCAGCAGGAACAGGGCGTTGATGGATCGGATCATATTTCATTTGCACATGGGAAGCTGGAAGAGAAAGAAGTGCAGCCAGGCAACAACCCCTCAAAGCCTGGCCCCCAAGAATGTGCTTCCTCCAGCGAAGATCCACCCGATAAAGGTTCCACAGCGTTCTCCAAAATGTTCCTCCAGCCAGGGACAAATGTTCAAAATATATGGGCCTAAGGGGGATATTTCTCTTTTAAATTCAAACCACCACAACACACACACATACACACACACACACACACACACACACACACACACACACGGTTGCTGTTACTTATTTTGCTTTTGAGGCAGGATCTCAAGTATCCCATGCTGACCTTAAACTTGGTATGTAGTCAAACCTGACCTTGAGCTCCTGATTCTCCTGACTCCAAGCACTGGAATCACCGGCATACTCCAGCATGGCCCACTGAGCATTTATATTTTAAAATGTTCTTGGCAACTGACATTGCTGTTAGGCCAATCCCTGGACTGACACCTGCTGCGTGGAGGGTACAAAGACTATTTTCTTCATTGTCCTGGCTTATCTAGTATTTCCTTACCTCACCGTTTATATGCACTTACGCGAGGACACAGACAGAACCAGAGATGCAACTCTTACACCCATCTCAGGTACTATCCCAGAACCCAAAATGAGCAAAATGGGCATCTGGCATTGACTTTTATAGACTTGAGCATTTATAAGTTAAAGAACTCTCAAAGTTTTCTGAAGTTGTTTATTTAAACTGTCATCAAGAGAAACAAGGTCCAATAATGAAGAAGCATGGGCTCAGTAGCCAAGTCGAAGTAGGTTCAAACCCTAACCCTCACTCACAACCTTCATTCGTTTGTACAGCCCACATGTATCTGTTGAACGTCCATGGTGCGGCAGGTGGGAGAACACCGCAGCAGGAGCAGGGCGCTGCCGCAGTCACCGGCAATAACCTTGCTATCTTACCTTCTTTTCATGTTATGATAATTTACTCTGAAAAAAAATTCAAGAAAGAATAGGTTTATTCTGGCTGAAAGTTTTTTTTTTTTCTTTTTAACTTTTACAAAAACTTTATTGAGAATGTCATACATGCAATATAAGGTGTTTTGATCAAATCCGTGCCCACTCCCTCCCCTCCAACATTCCCCCCTCTGAAGAGGTAACCTTAAAATCTTTTAAGGATTAGATATGAGCTCCCAAATACTTTTTGACATTTTTGGCCTTTGGAACAAAGTATGTTGCTAACAGGCCCCAGGACATTTTGACTTTTAGCCAAGAAACTGGCTATGTTTCTTTGGGGTCTTTTTACCCTAACTGTGTAGCCAATTCCTACCTCCTATTCTTATCACACCATCCTCTGAAGGGGTTACCCAAATTGCCAATAGGGAATAGGGACGCAGACTGCTCTGGCTTCTTCCATTGCTGAACAGGGATGCAGGGTGAGGCAATTGGAGTAGCCCTCAGTGGGACTATCTAAAACACCCCCAAATTGCATAACTCTTGTCTCTAAGGAGAAAAGAAAGTCCTTGAATCCTGAATAGGGGATGTGAAGGAGAAGTAAAAGCAAGAGTAATTAGGATTCCAAGTTTTTACATACAGTCTATCATGTCAGGAAAGCTGGCCCCATCGCATCCACAGTCAGAGAACAGAGCAATGACTGCCCGTAGGTATTCACTTCACTTTCTCCACTTCATATAGTCCAGGATCTCCTCCAGGAGAGTGATCCCAACTGCAATTAAGATGAGTCACAGAGCTGCGGAGATGGCTCAGTCATTATGTAGACCACCCAGGTTCAAGTCCAAGCACCCAAGAGCAGCTAACAATCATCTGTAACTCCAGTTTTAGGGAGATTTGATGCCCTCTTCAGGCCTCTGTGGACATAGCACACATGGTCCACTTACATACATGCTAGCAAAACACTCATACACATAAAATAAAAATTAAAAAATCCCTTAATAAATGAATCATCTCATATTATTTATCATAATGGAGTTAGCTCCCGACAGGCACTCCCAGAGCTCCATCTCCCAGGGGATTCCATATTCTTTCAAGCTGACATTTAAGAGCCTAAAATGAATTTTAGAGATAGATACTCCTTAAGATTTTCCAGGATTTTATTCTCCTCACTTTTGCAGAAATTCCTTTGAAGGAAGAAAATAGCGAAGCAACAATGCCTTGCTTTAACTCGAAAGTTAGTGTAAAGCCTGTTGCAGTTTGCACATGCTGTCAACAAAGTGTTCCAGAAAATGATGTCTAGAGACACTGGAACATGTCTCCCAAAGCACTCAGGAACACTGATGTGAGAGCCTTCATGTCCAACCCAGGTCTGTTCAGAAGAAATGAATTCCTATCCCACTGTAAGCCGGCATGCCTCATATGGCAGAGATGTGTCTGCCTGTCTGTGGGGACTAATGCTGACTTTTGTTATTTGCAGGTTATGGTTTTGTAGATTTTGACAGTCCTGCAGCGGCACAGAAGGCAGTAGCATCCTTGAAGGCAAATGGCGTGCAAGCACAGATGGCCAAGGTAAGCCTGCTCGGACAGGAGAGTCTACGCACACAGGCCTGTGCTTTTGCATGTGTGTATCTTGTGTGAGATCAAAGAGTTCTGAGTGGACTCAAACGTGTGATTTGCCTTTCTTTGGGTAGTTATTTCTTAAGGAAAATCAACTGTATGGCAGATTTGACTTGCTACGAGCTCATTGATTTGTTTGTTGATATGTCTTTATTAATGGGCTTTTTGGTTATGGTGACCTCTGAGATTAAAGGACACATGTGAAGTGCTCTGTTTTTCCTGAAAAATGAGATATGCGTGTATGAGAGTTGAGAACTTTCAATAGTCAGCAGATTTTTGGAGTGGTAGCGTTATCAGCAAGTTGGCTTTGATTAGCCGTGTGCTAAAAGCTTGCTTATTTCATGTTGGGGAGGGTTATTAAATGATACTGTTGACTCATCTGCACTGGAAAATGGCTATCTGTAGTATCCTTTGTCTATATTACCAGAATTTCACTTTGACCAATATGCATGGAGATTTCCTGGATAACAATTTTCTAGATATTAATAATTTCAATAATCATTGTTATATAGGATAAGTGGTCTGGGAACCTCTATTAAAAAGTATAATGAATTTTTGTTTGAAAGAATACAAGTGAACTTGTTTATAATCATTTTGTATCTTGATTGCGATAGAAGAATCTGCGCATATCATAAGGTAGTGTTGGACTCTGCAAGAAGAATGTACCAATACCGATATTTTGTTCTAATGGGATTCTCTAATGATATAAGATATAACCTTGAGCTGGGTATGTTGACACACTCGTTTAATCCCAGAACTCTGGAGGCAGAGGCAAGTGGATCTCCGTGAGCCCAAGGCCAATATGGTTCACATAGAGTTCCAGGCCAGCCTGGGGTATATAGTAAGATCTTGTCTTTTTAAACTTGGGGAAACCGTGTGAAAGGTATATGGAATATCTTTGTTCTACCTTTTTGGGACAGACTTCTTATGAACACATCTTCATTTCTAAGTTGACCTAAAAAGGCATTTATAGCATTTGGATGCTTAGTAGGTACTGATACTAAAATAGTAGCCATTTTGGATTGGTTTATACAACCTAGGTTGTAAAATATTCTTTCTGGTTAATGGTATCGAACATCTTTATCATCAGCTCTTCACACTTTTGGATGCCACAACAACAGTCCTTGAAACGTGAGTCTGATGTATTTATCTCTTGCTGGTGTTCCTGGTTAGCCAGCACTGTTCCCATAGAACGCAACGATGAAGCCATCAAATGTTCCGGTCATTTGGGTTCTGTTATGATTGCTTTCCTTCTCTGATAACATTTTCCAATTTCAGCCAAACGTTTCTAGAAGAGAGGCATTTGGCCGCTTGTGGCTGTGGCTGTCTCCTAGCTGGGAGATGTAGACCATATCTGCTCCTTTTCTGTTACAAGTCCTCCTCTTAGATGACTGCAGTAGACCCATTGTCCTTTCTGTTTTCTTTCATTGTTATTCAAGGCAATGTAATTAGAATTTGAATTCTCCCAGCTGTGTAATGTATTCTTTATCGGGATTATGCCTGGAAGCTTTGGATTTGGTCAAGAACTAAGATTGATGAAGTTAATACGTTTAATTAATCAGGAAATTACATACATGTCTTGGTTTAAAGGTTACTTGGCAAAGAGTCAATGGTAACTTAAGTAGCAATTTCCTGTACCCAGAGAACAAATGACAAAACGAGGCTGCAGGTCTAAGCACAGTCCTAGAATCTGATTGCAGAACAACATCTCTTGGAAAAAACTTGATTATGAAAGTGCTTAAGAAAGAAAACGGGGACTGGACTGGGAGAGATGAATCAGCAATTAAGCATTCTTAATGCTCATGCAGAGGACCCAAGTGCGGTTGTCAGCACCCACAAAGGGTGCCTTACAACCACCTGTAACTCCAGCTCGGGGAATCTGACAACTTCATCTGTGTCTGTAGGCACCTTTACTCAAGTGCACAACTCACCCTCATGTATACACATAATTAAAAATTAAAACAAATCCTTTCTTTAAAAAGAAGGAAAATGAGGGCTCCTGAAAGACTGCTGCACCAGTTCTATCCCTGGGCCCCACGTGTTGGACAAAGCTGTCCTCTGACCTTCACATTACATGTGTCTCACATGTATGTATGTATGCACACATCCATAAACTAATTAACCAATTTAAAATTTTAATGGAAAAAATGCCTATTGGAACACCTTCGCTCAACATTTAAGAGTGCTCACCGTGTTTGCAGAGGACCTGGGTTCAGTTAGCCCTCTTCTGGCCTCTGCCCTCACTGCACACCTGTGGTACACTCGTACACATAAAATGAAAATAATAAATAAAATATTAAAAATACATAAATGTAAGAAAAATTAAGAAGAAAGACCATGATGATTGGAATACCTGGGATTCAGTCTATTTGCAAACTTCTGAATTTTAGAAGTTGCTAGATAGTAAACATTTCTATTAAACATGATATCAGAAAGAAAAAAGAATATTTCCTCCAGAAGCTTAAAGCAGTGATTCTTTTTTAATATTTTATTTATTATTTTTATTTTATATGTATGAATGTATTGTTTGCATGTATGTGAGTACACCTGTGTCATGCAATGCCTTCTTAGGTCAGAAGAGGGCATGAGTCCAAACCCCTGGAACTGGAGTTATGGATGGTTTGTTAGCCACCATATGGGTACTGGGAATCAAACCCGGGTCCTCTGCAAGAGCAGCCAGTGCCCTTAACCACTGAGCCATCTCGCCAGCCCCTAACTTGAATATTTTCACCATATTGGTATATGAGGAGTCTTCTCTCTGTCTCTATCTCTCTCTCACACATACACCACACACGCATACACACACAAACATACACCACACACACACACACACACATACACACACACACACTAATCACTGCATTGACCTATCTATTATCTTTTGGCCCTTATCCCATATTCAAGAGTCACAGTCAGGAGATTCCAACTGGACAGCTGAAAGTCACTCTGTTCTAGAGTTGTTCAAAGACTTTACTGTTATCAGTTGTACTGTATGTGAAATAAATTCTCAGTATTTTTCTCCCAAAGTTTGAGTCTACAGCCTGCTTCAGATTCCCATCTGCCTACTGGAAACTTTCAGCAATAAATGACCCTGTAATTTAACTACCTAGAAGAAAATAAATAGGCTCCCTCTGACAATGAAACGGAACAAGCCTTGCCACCTGTATTAGCAGATTTCTCACTGAGCTATTGGATTTCATGGCACTTTTTCCTTTGTCCTGCTGATAACTGTTATTTATTATCATATAAACCTGCAGTCTGCAGGGTGTGTGAAACTTGCACTATATATTTTGCCCTCTAAGTATGCACCGAATCGCCTCCTTCAGCCGTATTCATATCAATATCCCACTATGTGGCTTGTGGTGTCACATTTTAAAATCTCCAGGGTTTTAAAATACAAATGCCACCTGGGGCTGGAGAGATGGCTCAGTCATCAGGTACACATACTGCTTTGCAGAAGACCTGATTTTGGTTCCCAGCACCCACACCTGGAGGCTCAAAACTGCCTATAATTCTAGCTCCAGGGGATCTGATACCCCCTTCTAACCTCTATAGTCCACATTGTACACTCATACATACACACACACACACACACACACACACACACACACACTCACACACACACTCACATAATATAAAAATAAAAACTTTTAAAAAGAAATTAAAAATGACACCTGTACTCTAGATTCCCAATAGAAGCCTGGAGCTAACCTGAAATTCTGTGGGAATTGCTTTCTTTAGCTAACCTCTTCCAATGTGTGCCTGTGAAAAACTCCAGCTGATATCTCAACTAAAATAAGTGAATAACAAATTAGCCCAGAAATGGCAACTGATCAAAAATAAGTAGCCATTAACACTGATTAACATTTTCTGTATACTTGCTGTTTTGCCTATAAGAGGTCTTTCAGGATCAAGGGTTGTGATTCTTTTGGGAAGCAAATTTGCAATATTTGGTAAATGCATTCTGGTGGTCAACATAAATTTGGAAGGAGATACACTTAGCTTTGATTCCTGGTTATGGTACCAACTAGTTGTGTGAACTTGGCTGTATTAGTAAAATATCTCTAAGATTCTAATAATAATATATTTAAGTTGTAGGATCACTGTGAGAATTTTTAAAACTCCTCAAAGAATTTGGCATAGTGCCTAGATCATAGTAAGAATTCAGTACATGTTAAGTATTTAACAAATGTCGTATGTCAAATTCAAATTTTCTAGTAATCCTGTGACTCTTAATGTATCTCTAGGTCTTATCATAAAAGAGTACATGGGAAAATATTAAACATTTAAGTCTGTAAACATTTTTGTTGCTTACTGTAGGCTAGACACTGAGCTGGCTGTAATGAAATAAGATGGTTGGGAAAGAAAGACAGACAAGAGAATGAGCGACTTTGTGACAGCACTGACTTTATCAGGACGAGGCCTGTGGAGGGGATATCCTTAGTTCTAGAGACCAGAGGAGGGGACTGAAATTTTTCTCTTTTTGTGGCTCATGGTTGGCTATTGCTAGGGGTAACCAGTGTGTAGTTAGCTAAAGAATATCAAGTGATCAATAAACACCTGTTGTGGCTCATGATGACAGAGGGTCCATAGGGCCAGGAGGACAAGAATCTATAAAAGCAAGTTACCTTAGTTCTACAAACAAAGTTACTTTAGTTTCTGCAATTGTTGTTGTTTAATCCAAATGGAGGAGCTTCACACAATGGGATGACTGTGGCTAACAAAATTGTCTTCCTTATTTGAATTTGTAACATTCATCCTATCTGCCATATTGCAAAAGATGTAGACTAAAAAATTCCAGTTATTATCCTTGAAAACCTTCAGGTAGATCAAAGAAAGTTATTGGATGAGAAATATGGGTTTCCATAAGCACGAAATAAAGATGAGGCAGTCCTGGCCAACTATAGCTTGACATACAAGTGCTTATTTTACTGATGTACCTGAAGTTCCTG